GAATTGCTTCTACTTCATGCCTGTCTTCTCTGTAAGTTAAAAATAGAATGCATGCAGTACAACTAATATTTTATTTGCCCTAAAAAGTGGTCAGCACTCCCCATGCATCAACGAATGCTTTGTTTGTACGTGACTTTGCATTTGATCGATATGAAAGCTACATTGTAACAAGTTTTTAAACATTGTTTGTGTCCATTCTCTATGCATCAAATATTTAACTAACAAAGAGTTAGGGCGGTATTTTATTGTTTAAAACAACAAACAACTTACTTGTCATACTGGTACACATTTGTCCGTTAATGATGTTATATCAAGTAGTATTTTTAAATATTTTTCCTTACTTACTTTTACATTTTTATTTTTTTTAACTACTTTTTATTGCGCTTTTCCTTTCATCTCATTTCGTAAGACGAAATAGGTGATTGAATTAATGAAATACCATTAACTTCATTTAAGTAATTTATTCAAGTATTTTTGGAAAACACTTTTGTATCAATAAAACATGTTAACAAACTTACAAGACCTTTTTTTCTATAAGACCTAATAACAGTACAAATAGTGACAATATCATATACTTTTATCAAATAAAACAAAATTAATATTCTTAAGAATCTTGGCTTTAAATTATCTTAATCTATCTTTAGATTTTTAATTATAAATGGATTTAATACAATGAATTTAATTATCATATTATTTATAAACTGTTATCATACTTTATCATCAACTTATACTCTATAAAAACTTACTTAAACAAGTTAATTAATCATTAAACTTGATCTTTATTTACTGATTTACTAGCTGTCACCGGGGACACACGACCGACGACACACGGTGGAATTAAAAAAATTACTAAGTAGCTTATGTGTTCTTCCAGACTATGTTCTACATCTATGACAAATATCAGCGAGATCCGTAGAATCGTTCCGGAGATACCTCCAAACAAACGCGCTTCCATCCAAACATTCGCATTTATAATATTAGTAAGACAAATTAGTAGTAGTAGTAATTACTTCAAACAGATGGCTGTAATATGACTCTTGGATGTCGCGTTTGTAACGCTATTGGTGAGCTGTAGAAATTCTCTTCTGTTTCTAGATCAGCTTTAGCTTGGAGTCTTGCTATATGCATTACTGGACTTCGGTGACTGCATGCCGTACTCGCGTGTAGATGTTCTGCGTACCTTTTCGTTAATGCAAAGGAATATTCGTATAAAATCGTTGAGAAGGTAAGGCAGGAAATGGAAATAAAAGAGTAAGAAAGAAAATAAATATAAGAGAGAGAGAGAGAGAGGTAATAAAAGGGATATCAGAAAAAATATAATATTTTATTAAAGTAATTAAGTAAAAATGACTACACACTAGATACTAGACATCAATAAAATATAAAGAAGAAATTTTAAAAATCGAATACCTGTCAAGTTTAGTAATTTTGTAATCGATAGTATCTGAAAGTAAAGAAAAAAAAATCAGAAACAATGGAATACACACTTATTAGATGTGACGTCATAAATAGATTACCTCTCTTCCGTCGACATCGTAATATGAGGCATAGTAATAGCACCAACAATGCTGCAACAAGCACCGCCGCGATCAATGGTGCTACATTAGTTCTCTCTAGAGGAATTTGAAGAAATTAGATTCTTAAAAAAACAAACTCACAGACTAAGCGAAAGGATATTGATTAATGACTCTTCAAAATCTCTAAAATTGGTTTGGATATTAAAGATGTAGTGTGTAAATCTATACCATAGGTATAAGTAATACATTGTCTCATGTACACCAGTAGAGGGCAGCCGTCAATCTGTCATTCTGGCGTTATACGCAGTGAAGGTTGGACGTGTGCATGCGCTCGGGACTGGATGTAGTGGTGAGCCAGTGAATACATCTTAGTAGCAAGTCGCATGATTGCTACAGGAGAGTACAATAAAACAGACATTCATACACATATTCTTCATTTAATTATTCTATTATGTGTAATTTTTATGTTAGTATAAGGTTATTGTTTTTGGGTTAATATTTATTACGTATAATAAAAACTTTTTTCTTTCTTTCTTGCTTTTTTTTCAAATAATTGCTGATGAATTTAAACACCCTGTGCAGTCTGAAATTAAACTAACTAATGAAGACTTACCGTGTACTTTTAAGGATATTGCATGAGATGAAAATCCTTTGTCGTTTCCTACTCGCAGCAGGTAATCTCCCGCATCCGAAGATTGAACGTCTCCTATAGACAGTGTATAAAGGTAACAGTCATCTTTGCCTTCTTTTTGATATGCCTTATACCGATCTGTTAGAAGAAAAAAAATATTTAAAGTATATAATTTAATTCTAATAATTAGAAACTCTTCGAGGTATCCTTCGTTTCAAGTGAAATCCTAAATTGTCCAAAAAAACGAATATTAAATTTCCAACATGGCGGCCATTTTGTGCTAATTGTGAGATAATGTAAGTGTTGTTGTGTGTTCTATGTTATTATGTGGAAGTGTTTCACCAGGAATATTTCGAAATATAAAACCTTAACCTCTAATCATAGTTTGTCTATGGTTAAATATTCGTAAAACTTACCAATTTCTGAAGGTACATCCAATCGGAACCGGCCCCAGAACCAGTAGGCCATAGTCGGCGACGGATCAGAGCATACCGTGACATGCACGCTTGCTGTACTGCCTTGCCAGCCTTCAGCTGTTCTGATGTCTATACCAATAGGTGGTCCAAAGACATTCAGAGTTATTGCTTTTGATTTGTGAATTCTAAGAATATAGTAAACGAAACATTTTATTAGATTATTTAATTTCTTACAGATGATAAATATATTAGTTATTTTCGTTTAGTTTGAATGGCAAAGATTTGTCAATTATTAACAGAAAGACATCGGGTTTTCTTCAATCATTTTTGTATCTGAGTTTAATCGAATTTATTATAATAATTTAGTTATCACTGATAGTTTACGTTACTTTTAACCGTAAGTTTTCTTTGCTGAAAATAAGCCTAAATTATTATTAACAGTAGTAGTATAAATGGCTTACCTTTCTTCACCTCCAATATAATTTTTAGCGATACAAACATATTTTCCACGTTGAAAGTAAGTCACATTAAATATTTGAAGCTTAGATGCAGATGATATTAAATATCCGTCTAAACAAATATTATTGTTGGCTAATGATTTGGGGCTGGAAGATAAAAATTAATCAACTGGCATTCTAACCTTACTTTTTTAAATTCCATAAATTGTAAAGAATGGTGTAAACGAGAAAAGGTTTATTTCCTGATAATGATGATGAAACTATCACATTCTATGTTTTAAAAAAAATTATAGTGTCTGGTTTACATATATAATATTTTTTTTAGATCATAATGTGGCAAACGAGCTAGCGGCCACCCGAAATCGCTGAAATAGCGAAGTGACCGTTGCCCATAGACATACGCAATTGCATATGCGTTGCCTACCTTTAATCGAAGGAGGAGAGGATGCACATAAAGAAAATATATTCCCTTTCCATGCATCCAGCCAGTACAGCGGTCAAAATCAACGCTGGCATGTACGCTAACCAATTGTAACATGCATAATGTAAGCACTAACTGGCGCCAGTGAGCTCCCACAGTCCGTGCCAGGCTAGCACTACTGTCCTACTCTACTGGCATAATGTAAACTTTACATTGTTATATATTTTTATGTTACTTTGAAAATTTAATATTTTGATAAGTAAACTTAGGCCTACTTTACATAGTGAAGTTGCTCCTTACTTGGGATACGAAATTTGTTGACTTACCAGAAGTACCATTGATACGTTGGTGCTGGGTTTCCATCTGCCTTGCACTCCAGGTTAACATGTGAATGCAGATTTGCGTTAACAGATAAACGAGGACCAATCCAAGTTATTTGTGGAGGGACTAAAAGTACGGGTATCATAAGTAGTAGGATAGCAGAAACACATCACTGCTACGATACTCAGAGTCGTTATTTGATCACTAAGGCTACATTTATTTACTATGACAAGTAGACAAAGGGAACGTTTCACTATTATATGATGTAGTTACTTACATTTGACATCTATTACAATTTTAACTGAATCGGATTTACCCATTGAGTTTTTAGCTATGCATCTGTAGATACCTTAAAAGTAAAGTACAACTCAAAATTATTATTTATTAATAACTATTTCAATATTAACGTTGGCAAATAAACCCAACGAAACAAGAGAAATAATAACAGCACTTGTAACGTGAAAGAGTTTTTAAGTTATTCATTCGTAGCTTTTAATAACATACAAAATGATTTAAAAATGTTCTATCCATCTTAACAGCTCTATGTAGTTCTTTATTCACCTGAATCATTTCTTGTAACAGTCACAATTATAAGATTAGGACCATCAGTGACTATTCTTTGACCGTCTTTTGTCCACCATACCTTAGGCTTAGGATTACCATCTCCCTTACAATTTAATGTTAAAGAACTTAAACCTTCTTCAAGCGTAGACAGTCCTTCCGCTCCCACGATTGAAGCAACTGGAATAACTGTAATTATTGTAACAACTGTGTTTAATTAATAACTAATTGTGGATTTCTGAGACTAAAATCCATATTAAAATATTTTTAACTCTATATTGTCAATTGAAAGATAGGGATATGTTTTATGACATTTTAGTCCCAGAAACCAATGGTAAGAGCTTTAATTAGACGTATCAAAAATATAAAAAGTTTTTAAAAATGTTACCTTGCCTGTCTAGTGCATAAAGTCATGTTGTCATTGTGTTTGTTAGGTAAAGGTCTAACTAAAGATATTTGCAATGACTCAACAGAAGTTAATCTATAAAATTTTGTATTTCCCATTAGATTATTTAAATAATAAAATAAAAAAAATCTCAATTAATACTTAGGTCAATAGCGAGAATTTTTATTTAGATTTTTATTTACTTTAAATTTTTATTGTACGGTAACTCTGTCTCAAAGAGCATATAAAGTATATTTGAACTTGATTATTCGGAATTCAAAAAGTTAATACTAACATTTCACGTCAAATATAATATGCACATCTTTATAGTAAGGCGGTGGGTAAGATGGATGATGTGCTCGACAGACAAGTTGCTTGCGGTGTGTAGCTCTGGTAGGGATCATCTCCAGCACAGCACGCGCTGCCCACAGACGTGGCTGTTCAACTTCTGATGTATTTGTTTGACTCCATGCTATAACCTGACCCTTTTCTGAAAGACGTTAATAGCATATAAAACTATATATAATATCTAGAAAATGATGAAGTGTAATCAAGTCTCTTCTTACTGATGAGTTTTGTTTTGTGATTATTTAATATACTTTTAAAATAATTTTTTACGCATATTAAAATGTATGAATCGGAACAACAGTCGTCCAGTAATTCGATTCATATTCTTACTAATTTTTTTTAATTAAAAATATTAGCAGATTTTTTTGTAAATTTACTAATATTTCTTCTACCATTACAACTAAGCTCTAGGCTTGTGCTAGGATATGGTTTACGACAATAGTCGAATGGCGGGATTCGAACTCCCGACCTAGTGATCGGAAATCCGTAACCTTAACCATTAGGCTATTGACGCTTATATTCTTACAATCGCTTATAATCGCTATATATCTTCCTAATTAATGAATTTGTTTTAAATTTACCTAAGAACCATTCAACGTGAGCCGGTGGGTTGCCATATCTAACCTCGCAGAAGATAGTTGTTTTAGACCCGGCAGCTAGAGTGACACTATGATCCGTAAGAACACGCGAGCCGTTGTAATAAATTCTTGGTATTTGTGGAGCAACACGTACGGCAAGTATCGCTGGTTGACTGGAAAGAGCATCCTGAAAATAAATGGGACTTAAACAAAGCATAGTGCGACTTAGGAAGCAATGTTTTGCCTATCATCATCAGCTCACTATAGGTCCCCACTGACGGGCTCGGAGCCTACCCTAAGTTAGGAGTGACTAGGCCATAATCAACCATGATGGCACAGTGCGGGTTGGCTTACTTCACAAATATCTTTGAATTTCTTTGCAGATATGGATTGGATAAATGTACATTTGTGAACCAAAAATTGAAAAACATATTGGAACATGGCAGGATTCGAACCCAGGACCTGTAGATTACAAGTTGAATGTTAACCCTACGCCACCAACGTTCCATGATGCCTATGACCCAACAGTATTAACCTGAATGTTATAGTTGCTGGAAGTGACCTGACATCGCCATTGTCCATCATCAATATGTAGCTTGGCGGATCGAATGCGGAGCGAGCAGTCACTGGTCATAGCGACGCGAGGGCTCGCCCACTCGTATTTTCCACGATACATACCAACCGGCTGGAAAATTACTTGATTAGGAGACACAGTTTTGATAAGGTAAAAACTAATATCTAATTTTCAAATTTAAAAAAAGAACATTTAGTGTTGGCTCGTAATTAACTAGTAATAGTACAGTCAGCGTCATATAGATCGTAAATCGTCTCGTCGACTGTACATGTAGAACATTTTAATTCCTATGATCTATTCATAGAAGTATTTTGATATACAGAATAATAGATATGTTTTGAGTTCGCGATACCGACAAAAGGACTAGGGTGGCCCGTTATGAAATTGAAGGCGAGAGACCGTGAACAAGGTAGCGAACGTGAAACTCGTCGTAATAATCGGATCACGTTATCAAATAGGATGCGGAGTAACTTGAAATGTCTGTGAAGTTTGTTTCGGCTTTAACGTCCGACGCGCAAGTTGACATATGACTTAATTAAATAATCTGGAAAGTTATGTAAATCATTCACATGTAGGTTCATAGAATATTAGACAAAACCCCTATTCAATTAGTTACGTACAGTCGAACCATGAACAACTAAAACTGGATAACCGAAAAACTCTTATAAGTGAGAGGAATTGTCTGCTTCCGACAGGCGACCTTCATAAGCGCAAAACTCTGGTTGGAGAGAAACTAAATATAATCGAGAAAAATATCTCGGTTTTATGGACTCTCCTTTATCCAGGATCGACTGTACATGTCTTGGAATGAATTCATATAATTATCCAAATAAACAGACGAAGGAAATGATGCTATTACCTCACTTGTGTTGTGCCCGAATCACGTTTATGATATTAATTTCGTCTTTCATAGGGTAACTATACGTAGTAACAACATTTAATTGCAATTAGTTGCTTTTGTTGTTAGAGTAAATGTTTGTATAAACATAATAATTACAGCAGACACAAGACTGTCTGCGGTATGGCCGTTATTGTGCGTAATGAAAAGTCAATATGACATCACGTGCCGCGTATAATTTCGTATCTCAACTCCGAGGCCAATGATAGAATGATTTAAAGCTAGTTAATATTAAAACAATATCTTACTAATATTGTAAACGCGAAAGTTTAGACGGATGTTTGTTAGAAGGTATCTCCGAAAACACTGAACCGATCTTGATGAAATTTGGCACAGATGTAATATATAGTCTAGAAGAACACCTTGGCTACTTATTAAGTTTTTTTTTTAATTTCCGCATGGAGAGCGCCTGTTACCTTGTTATCTTTTTGCCATGAACAGATACCTCTCTTGTCTGATATGCGACACTTCAATAAAGCATCTTCGCCAGGATTTACTTCCGTGTATGTTGGTTCTTCTAAAAACCGTTGCAAGCCACCTGCAATTATTTAAAAATGGAACGATTTTTTTTAATTTGAAAAGGTATCAAGCCTAAATAATTCAGCCAACATATTTCAAAAATCAAATCTGTAAATAATATTTCATCTGTGTCCGTGTATAACCGACTTTTTTGCTAAAAATAATATTATATCTGCTTTTGTTTAAGTTTATAAACGGCAAAGGCTCAAAGAGAAGACACAATATTTTATTCAGCACCGGTTCAAAGGGAAGCCTTGAACATTGAAGTGTAATATGTAACGTCACTTTGTCTTTTGTATCGTATTCCAAGGGAATAAAGATTAAATTTCCTTGCATCGGCAATTTAAATTTGTCATTTTTTTATTTTATACATGTCCATGTCTGAGCACGGAACTTTTTCGATGGGATTGTCAACAGATCACTAAACATTTAGGATTTTTTAAAAACTGTAATTATGCAACAAATACGAAATATTCTTTTAAGGTTCTTTGGACTTATCTAATTTAATTAACCCTCATTATTACAATATATTGGCAATCATGAGCTTTGGCTCAATATTATTATATATTGGCACCTTGCTATATCCGAACTTATGCTTTTAATGTTATGTTCTTAAAATTTGATGCAATTAAAACGTTCATCTGGTACAATGGGATGAATTCGAAAGTCAAGAAGGATTTTTTCTATCGCCGTCTCTTTCATATCTGTTTTGAACGAGATAGATAAGGATAAAAATCTCAGTAGGTCACTAGAATACGGTATTCGGGCGCTCGCTCTTAATTAAACTTCAAACACTTAGGATTCACTTTTGCTGAAGTGAGAACGACCCGTGTTTACAATGAAGTGCAGTTTGTCGTGCCAAAAGTACTACTACGCTCACCTTTTTTAAAGGTGCGTTTTCGAATATATTGAGGGAATCTCCATGCTGTTGAAACGGCAGGAAATAACTTGTATATTATATCAGACCGGAGAAAATATGAATGGTTTGTCTGAAAGAGGATATGCGTAAAGAAAATCGTGTTAATTACACTATTTATAACTCAAGAACGGCTTTACCGATATGGCTGAAAATTGGTGAGGAGGTAGCTTAGAGCCAGGAGACGGACATAGTCATTCATTTTTTTCAAATTTGCATTGAAGAGATGCTTTTTATTTAACTTACTAATATTATAAATGCGAATAATTAAGATGGATGTGATGTGGATGGATGGATGGGTGTTTGAAGATATCTCTGGAACGGCTGAACGGATCTCGATTAAATTTGGCATGCGTATAGAACATAGTCTGAAAGAACACATAGGCTACACTAATGAAGTTTTTTTTTATATAACCACGCGGACGGAGTCGCGGGCGACAACTAGTAAGGAATAAATTCAGATATTACGGCTGATAGAGATAAATGGAGAGAAACGGGCAGGATGATATATTGAGGCCATCAAAATTTAAATAAATCTAAACGGTTATAAATTGGTAATTCCTAAAATTGAAATGAAACTCAATTGACTTATTTTAATCAACTGATTATAGACAAAAATATTATAAAATAATTTATGTCTATGTTTTTGGTAGGCGATGTCATAACTAATGCAAAGTTTCGATTTGAAATAAAAAATTGGAACATTTCTCAAGTTGTACTCTAGAAATGTGTGCTGATTATTTTGCCTTTCAATGTGATGTTATTAATATCGAAAAATAATAATGATGCCGCGTCCCAGAGCATTGGAAATATGACATTAAAATAATAATAATGAGGTACTGTTTTATTGAAAATTTTATGTTATGTATATTCTAGAATTATGATGATAAGATTTTTTATACAGTGGCAAAGGAGTAAGCGGTTGCCTAATTTCGCTAAAATAGCGAAGTGACTGCTACCTATAGACATTGGCAATATGTTAAATAGATGCGTTCCTCTTCATTAGTGGGAAGAAGAAGTGAAATAGAAAAGGGCTCTGGCATACACATTCATGGGGTGATATTTGAATTTACTTTCACTTTACGTCTGTCTTCTGTGTAGTCGTGGTATTGCACCGGTGAATGTTGCTGCGGTCTCCGCCACGGTTAAAACATTTTTAGGTTCGATTTTCCTAACATATTGTTAGCTTTAACAAATGTTTTCTTGTCTGCCTCCCTGCCTGACATGTAGACTGATAGCCTGTCATGTGTGGCTTAAATTTGGAGATAAATATAATCGTTTTCCCTAACTCCATACCACATATAATATTAATTCAACATTTCACAGATGTCTATTGACAGCCGTGTCTTCGCTATTTTAGCGAAATCTGGACAACACGATTTCGCCAAAACAGCGAAGCCATCAGTTACAACGCTTGCTTGTTTGCTACTTTCTACGATATAAAACATGTTAATACAGGTACAGTTAGAACAATTTAAGTTATCTTAAAACTTTAAACACCTTTTTTTGTTAAATGCAATGAAGTATACTCACCAACTTGGACTGCAGTTATAAATGAAATTGCCAACTGAATGATACTTCTACAGCTCATGTTGCCCCAGTTGGCTATTTTTTTTTAACAAAAATATATTTTTTATTTTTTTAATTCAGCGCGAAATTTAACACTGGCAACAAAATTATTCTATGATGTTACTTCACTTTTATTTTTTAAACAGAACTCGAATGCAGATAAAAAAAGTTACAGAACTTTATAATGTCGCGACGTTAAAACCTTCCGTATTGGTAGGCGTGAGGCCAGCGACTGCCGGCTAAAGCTATGCAGCTAAGCCTTATGACATAATTTTTTTTTACGTCAACTATTACGCCTTTAGAGTCGATGTATCTACAGATTAAATTATTGGAAACTTTTAATCCAGACTTTTTTTAGGTTAATATTTACAACACAATCATTGCTTACGAATAAGCTTGTATTCTGCTTCGCCCGTTTGAAATGAAAATATCGCTAGGATACCACCGCTCGGTCAGTGAACGTATTCTTTTCAAAGTTATTCATAACACAAACTTAATTGCAAAAAAATTGAAGGGAATATTGATTAACAATTATTTCAAGGCACTATTGTTTCTTTCCAGGCTTAAAAATGTCTGATAATTTCTAAAGATCAGGTAATAATTTGTCAAAAATACTTTTGTTGGACCGACCATAAAGTTTCGCTAGTGTAGTGTAAGTATAGACTAAGGAGAAAAGCTATATCTACCAGAGACAAATCTTCGTAATTTTCTGAAACCTTCAAGATGGTATTAAGAGCACCCGAAACCTAAGGACATGTGTTCGTAGATGTATTAATGTCAGAGAAGGAAGCCAAAGGGCTAGCTGTCAGGACTGTGCTACTTGTCTGGGTTACGGGCATGAGTTGTTTTTTTAAAATAAAAATCAAAAATTTAAAAAAATATTATTTATTATATCATACCATAATATATAACAATAGCACGTAAAATGGCAGTGTTTGAATATTTTTACTAACGCACTTAGAAGTAGCAAAACTAAGGTCCGCTGTACACGGAAGGTTATACACGGACCCCAGTTTGCAGGTACATCGTGTCGGCCGTCAGCTCCATTTTGCCTACGTGTATGGATACCTTTAAATATCAACTTACATATCCCTACATGAAGACAGTGGTAAGATATACATCGTAAAACATATTTTCAACCTTGTTATTAAACATTTTATTACGTAATTCTTGAGAATTGAACATAAATTCTGAAAATTAATAGATTAAGAGAAGATATATTTAAGAAAAGAATAACTAATAAACCTTTAAAAGATTTTCAGATAATTTAAAATCTTCGTATATTATACATAATTTTATTCATCGACTTATTTATGCAGATTGCTAGTAATAAAAATATTTTGCTAATATCCAAATACGTGTACTATTATTATAAACACATTAAATTATTACCAATATTACTAAATATATTACCAAAATTAAGTACCAATGAATAAAATCCATAAGTCTAATGAAATAAATTAATAAACACTTGTAATATCATGCAAGAATAACATAAAATACTCCTAGTATCGCATTACTGACGTTTCCTAATGCTAAATTAGTATTACACTAGCTATCTCTGTCACTCGTTATGAAAAAACTGAAATAACAATATAATGTTTTTATAAATTTTATCAACAGTGGAAACCTATTCAAATAACTTAAATAGTTGTCAGTTAACCTAAGGGTGCACGTAAAAAAATGTTAAGGTGACCATCATGTATCGACTTTTAGGACATTTTAAGTAAAAACTATTTTGTCCAAGTGAAGAACTATTTATAAATTAATATACCTATTTCAAATTCACTCTATTTTCCGAAATTGCTTAACAAAAATCACAAACACTTACAGGGCTTAATCAAATTTATTCATTTTCAATAATATAAACTTTATGTCCTTGAAAATAAGGTTGTAAATCCACTGTTACGCGCTCATGTGCAGCGGTCTAACGTTCCTGTGATTTTGAAGACATCGAATGGAGCAGAATTTGTACTTGTCATATTCGAATGGCGGCTTTGGAAGACGATGCGCGCAAAGAAAGCATCGAGGCTCGTCGAGTCTTACCTAGAAAAATAAATCTACTATCATATTTCTCGGTCAAAACTAAAAAACCCTAATTAACTATGAGGGCCGTGAAATCGTAATTTGAAACATAAAACTATAAAAAAATAGTAAAATTTCCATTAAAAATTAGTAGTCGCTCGCGATTTCGTCCTGGCGGATATAAAAAAGAGGCTTGACAGACGGAGGGACAACAAAGTGATCCTCTAAGGGTTCTGTTTTTCCTTTCGAGGAACGGAACCCTAAAAAACTTTCAGACCATGTTCTATATCTATACCAGATTTCAGCGGGACTATGCAGCCGTTGTGGAGATACTTTCTAACAAACATCAATCCATCCGAACATTCGCATTTATAACATTAGTAAGTGTAACTGTTAGGTTATGTCAGCTAATGTTAGGTTAGGTTAGTTATTATATTTGTGTTGAAATGTGTTGTGTGACCAAACCTTTTGAGTGTCCGTTAGCTGTAAATACTTGTTCGTTTTAATCTTTTCAACTTGCTTCACTTTGTTTCTTTGTCTCTTCAACTTCTTCTGCTGAGCTTTCTTCTCTTTTTCCTGTTCCAGTTGCTCCAGAGTAACAGGGCCTGGGATTTGCGACTAAACGCAGAGTAAATTAAACAGTTACTTTGTCGCATCTTTAGAAAATTGTAAGATAGTTGTTACATTGTTACACTTTCAGAGCTTTTGTAAAAGTAATTTCTCGAATCATTGACATTAGCATGAAGACACAATTGAAAAAATAATAAATGGATCTCATGTTAAAATAAGGTGGACACAATATACACAGATAATAAATTATACACAAGTCTCATGGTTCTTACCTTATTATAGTTATATTTGTCAGGATACTGTCCCTGGAAAAGTCGGAATAAAACCCTGATATCGCTGTCTTGAGATGCAGCGTAAGGAGTTTGCAGCAAATGGTTCTTTACGCACGGGTCGCCTCCCGATGTTAATATTTGCCTATAGGGAAAAATTCAGATCAAATGCTATCATGATAAAAAAAATTAATGACGAAAAAGATAATGATGATAAATCAACACGTTTTATTGTCAAACTGAAAAAAAAACTTGTGGGTTACAATTGACGGTGTAATTTCTTTTTTCATACTCACGTCACCATTTCTCCTTTAGCAGCAATGGCAGCCTTGTGTAAAGCGGTGTTGCCATCAGACGGATCCTGTGTGTTGCAAGCTGCTTCTAAATCGTCACCTTCCCAGGTCTCAATAATAGTTTCAAGCGATGTAAAATCATTGTCTTCAATAAGCGTCCACATCTAAAATTATTCCGTTTGTATAGTGTCAGGTTTTACGAAGGTTAAGAATGTCATTATCAATTTACGATGATCAGTCTGTAACGAGACTGTACCTTTTGAACACTAGCTGGAATTTTAGGCTGCCCTTTCTTAGTCGGTCTACCTTCCTCGGCCTTCTTTTTGTTTTTCTTTTTCCTAATTTGTTCTTTATGCTCTGGTAAATTATCGTCTTGACTTTCAGAACTTCTACAACTTGCGATCGCCGTGTCATTGATCAGATCTTTTCTCGAGTTCGTTAGTAAACCGAGACGGCTCTGTTCGGAGAGTGTTTTAATCCAATCCAGCGGCGTATCAAGATCTATAAAGCAAGGGCCTTCGTCTTCGCTTGATATTAACTGAGTTGGCAACTCTCGAGCTGGACGTTCCCTATTAAGTAATTAGATGGTATGTTCACTTTTATTCAACAGAAAAATGGATAGGTGATGATGAGGTAAATGATCAAAATTGACGGAATAAATCTTTCTTAAAAGTAAAACATGAAATCAACTGTACAATACAATACCTGGATTTAGCTCGATTGATGGTCTTGCTAGGACTCTTTTGTACCTTTTTACTTTCGTCTGAACCAGTCTGTTTAGCAGGTTTAGTTGAGGAAGCGATCAACGCCTTTTGGAAAATCTCCATAGAATCTATAGTAAGATTTCATTTTAAGTAAGTTTATAAATAACGACAAATAAGTCTTTGAGTTTAACATTGTCTTTAAAAGCCGCGTACAGTTTATAACAGGACACAGTACTTAGTCGTGAAAACAAATTAACTCAGAATCTGGACGCAAGTCGAAAACTTTGTACACTGTGATTTGGGTATCAAGACGAATATTTTTGTATTTCAGAGTCTCGAAGTCTTACGTATTGATTTGAAATTTACGCTACCAAAATTCAATCATAGTAGCTAAAATCATATAATATATTTATCTTATTATAAGGAAATCAATGTAAAAATAATTACGTTTTTAACTTCAATTTATTGAAATGTACTTTCTTACCGTAGACTTCAAAGCTTGCTAAGGTCTCGTGTACTCTCTTAACTTCTTTAAAACTGGGCTTCTTTGTTGGAAAAGGTAATGCCCTAACACGAAAATCATCTCTACTTAACGGAGAATTTTTCCCAAATAACGCAGCTTGGTTCATCGAACCCACCGCACGGTACAGAATGCAAGAGCAACCTTTTAGATCTTCCGCCCAGCTTGCTATGATCTCTTGGACATGCTAAAAGACAGACAGTACTAAAAGTAATTCTTGCAAAAATGGACCAAAAGACACGCTTTTTGAAAGTATAAGCTGTCTGCCGCGACTCCGTTCACGTGGAATTAAAAAAAACTTAATAAGTAACCTATGTGATCTTTCAAATTATGTTCTACATCTGTACCGAATTTCATCAAGATCCGTAGTCGTTCTGGAGATACCGTCTAACAAACACCCATCCATCCACCCATGAATGCCCTAAAGGTTTTTATGGTCACCTGGCAAGAAAGTTGCAAAATTGGTAAAGAATAATTTCGACTACATATTAATGTGAACGTAACTTTAAAAATTGCTGAAGCAAATATACCTCTAAAAACTGTGCCTGATTGTATCTTCTTAAACTAGCTCCCGCGGATCTCGGAGCATTGCCGTGATGGTCTCTGTTATACTGCGCTTGCCCTTGACCACGACGGGTCACGTAAGAGTGGTGCGTTTTATGTAATACTACTACGCCACCAGAAAATATGGCCCCTGCGAAATGACCGCCTGATACCATAAGGACCGCCCAACGTTGGTAGCCTGGGATAGAAAGTCGCGTACATCGTTCCACCCAATTTTGACCATCACCGTCCGTTGACAGCTCCTCCTAATTTTAAAAATGTATTTTTTTATCAAAATAATTTGACTATTTGATGCTTTTGTCTGCATTTGAAATATTTAATGCGCAATTCGATTAAACAATCATAACAAATATATTGATGATTCACATGAAGGTTTACTTGTATTTAGTAATTGAAAGGTGTTTTTTGCACTGCCCTGTAAAACGACATATAGCTATCTCTGCTTGTTTCAAAAGTAGGAAAGTGACAACAATATTTATTTGTAGAAATACCTTTTTATGATGTAAAATACATCTGTACACACAGAAGACCTGGCCATAGCGGTTAGTAAAGAATGCCTTGCAGTGCCTAGTGGCAGCTGCAAATAGATCACTGGCTGGATTAGTTCCACCATCATCACCTTCTGAGTCACTGCCAGAAACACTTGAGTTATCATCTGTTCGACAAAGGCATATCTTACTATGTGAAATACAACCAAACCCAATGACGTCTAGTTTTTTTTAGGTCAAAAAACAATGGCATGATTGGAAACAGAAAAAGCTATACAAAATTAACGCAATAATTGTGTTTACACTGTTTTAAATGATTGTAATGACACCCACAAGAATAGTTTAAATGTTTGAAATAAAAAAAAAAATTACAATTATTTTGTAAATACCTAAAAAAAGCATAACCTGTTGCTGATACTGATCATATTTAAGAAATAACAAATATGTAAATGAAAATCAAAAAATTATCCTACAAAAAACATTATAATTGGTCAATTCAAAAAATATACCAGTCTCGGTGAGCGCACCCATAAAGATAAGGCATGAAATAATGGCTACCACATATTATATTTATAAAAAGCAGCAATTATATTAACTCAGTCTCCAGCGACTTCATGCTGCTATGGCCATTTTCATTGATAAAATAACTAATAGTATTTTGTTTGTAAAAACTATTGTGGCCATGTTTTTTCAGGATTTTTTTTTAAATTGTATTTTTTATTTACTACATAATCATTGAGTAAAAAATATGACTACATATTTAAGATCATATTTTTCATTACCTTATTTTTTGTGGTAATTACTAAATAATCATGTATTCCTTACCTTGTCTAGAATTAAATTGGCCCAATGTCAATGCAGGTTTGCCAAAGAGTTTTCTTTTTATATTATATGTGTGCCAGTGTTCCTTGTAGTGGGCAGTCTGCTTCGCTCTAGTGGTGAATGGTCCCACACCACAACATGAACAGCAGTTCCCATCAGCTGGCCCACCAATGGTCAATGCATTGAGGCGCTTTAGAACACTTTGCTCATCAACTGTTAACAAAATTGATATTTAATACATTTGTACATTGAGAGTGTCGGTGGCTCAGGGGTTAAGTATTCGAGTTGTAATCTACAGGTCTTGGATTCAAATGTCACTATGTACCAATGTGTTTTTCAATTTTCTATTTAAATATGTGCATTAATCCAATGTTCCTACAGTGACGAAAAAGTTGTTATGCACCCTGCACATATCTGCGAAGAAATTCAAAGATATGTGTGCAGTCAACCCACACTGGGCCAGCGTTGACTATGGCCTAGTCACCCCTAACCTACTGTAGCCTCCGAGTCCCTAAGTGGGGATGTATAGTGAGCTGACGATAATGATATTTGTACATTATGTTATCATTGTTATTTAATGTCAGGTAAGGTTTTGTTCAAGTTCTGGTTTATAAATAATAAAGAAAACTTTGAACTCTCGTTGATGTATTAAATTATCTATAGAATATTACAAAATATAGTTTCACTTATGTGATAAAAAGAGCTGATAAGCCTTAACATTTTTTATCAATACTTAAATCATTTTAACTAGTTTACCACCAATAAGATTTTTTTTCGTCACATTTCCTTGAAATTTACTAAAGTTTAAGTTTCGGTGAAATTTAATTTAAGACACATTTACAGAGAATTTTAACTCGTCATAATTTTTAATAATTTCTATTAACCTTTTGTCTTTTCCCTCCATTTATAAATTGAACAAAAATTACAACTTACCAACTACGTGTGACTCAGTTATCATACATGCTGGCACTCTTATACCTCTTAGTAATCTTTCGAAAGCGTCTAATTCATAAACTCTTACTAAATGAGGTTTTGCTACTTCTGTTTTATTAGCCATTTTTCTAAACATACAATATGGGTGGTTATTTTCAACATGAAAAAAAGAGTTTAGTTAATTTATTTTAAAACTTTCACACAAAACCCCTGTCTATTTCAACTTTGATGAATAAAAATAATATTGTGCAATAATTTGTGAAACGAATTTGTATTGCACAAACATAACCTTATACCCTATATATTTCTGACAGCCACTGTCAAAAGTTGGCAGCTGATAGTTAGTGTTGCTATTAATATTGCTATTGCATTAACTAATATTAAATCATTATAATAATTATTAATGACGAATGCGAGAAAATCTGATGTATAACATTAAAATGGCACAATGAAAGGTCTTTAGATCACAGTTCAGATAATTGGATATAGTAGTAAATAACTACTAAAACCCAAGGTACAGATTCTTACTGATTCGCTTTTTACGAGAACTAAAATAACAATCTTTGTGTTACTAACATAGAGATTGTCTTTATACATCTAAATTGTTTTTTTTTCTTTTATAAGAGAAGGCGGCAAACGACCAACTGGAACACTGAGGTGTTCATCGACGCCCATGGACATCTGCAATACCAGAAGTACCATAAATGCGTTGCCGGCTTTTGAGGTGGTGATACGCTTGCTTCTTGAGGGATCCTAAGTCGTAGCGGTTTGGAAATACCGCCAAGGACATACCATACCACTAAGCGACTGTGCGAGGCAGGAAGCTTCGCGCAAACCGCACGGTTGTGCATTAATTCTTTTTTGTTATTAAAATTAAGAATATGGGTAAAGTTTATAACAAATTAACAATGCAAGTGGCTGCGACTAATATGGCTGACATTCTATGTAAATCACTTATCTTATTTTTTTAAATATGCTAACGAAGCAAAGACAACATTATCGATCTCTAGTTTGTAGAGTCTAAAAATAGCTTAAGTACAAAAGTTGGCCACGTAAGTGACTTCTATTGGAAGACATTTCATTGTTAAGTTAGACATTCAAACGAACTATTGTTATGAGCTTAAAGTACGGGTGTACAGATATTTATTAGGCGTCTACTAGTTTCCTGTAAAAACTGTCTTTATAATTATCTATAAAAATCATCATAATCAACCATCCTTTTTACTAGATAGGGTAGATGTATAATGTATTACTCTCATCCATCTCTATTAGCAGTGATATTTGAATTTTTTTTTTATAACAGAAGGGGGCAAACGAGCAGTGGGAACACCGAGGTGTTCACGCCCATGGACATCAGCAATACCAGAGGAACCGCAGATGCGTTGCCGGCCTTTGAGGTGGTGATAGGCTCGCTTCTTGAAGGACCCTAAGTCGTATTGGTTTGGAAATACCGCCGAGGACACAATTCACTCCCTTCTTACGCAAATCTGGGTGGGATACACACAATCCATGCGTTCTTTCTTTCAAATTATTCAATCTCATTATTTTCTTGTTTCTGTGTGGAGTATATTTAATTAGTATATAGTTTTTGACTCTGGTTATTAGGTTTCTCTCGTGTCTCTAATCATTGCGATATCACAATTTTAATATAAATACTAAAAATAGGAAATTAGTAATTGGCGACAACAAGTACCGTATAATTAGATTTGATATGCATGAAATCGAAGGTATAATTTAGCTACTAGCACGCGACCCCTTTTTTCAGAGGGGGAAAAACTTTATGCATACTGTGCGCCCCGGAAGGGACATGGTAGTTGTGTGGGATCCTCTCCCCAATAGGGAGCATATCCATTAAAACCTCTTTGTTCCTCCTACGCATGGTGACGTGATCACGGGCACGCTTGCAACTGCGAGAACGCGACACAGTAACATGCTATACCAAACTCTACCAAAATACTATGTATCAATGAAGTTTGTTAAGCCCTCTTTAAAAATTCCAGCTATTTTTAAACATTTTTAGTTAGAATCCTTTAGCGCGAATAGCGCGCTTTCGTCAATATTTTAATAAGGCTAGTGTTGCGCCAGTACACCGTCATATTATCGGATTTTCTTCCTAACACTATATATTTCATTTTTAGGGTTCCGTATCTCATAGGAAAAAACGGAACCCTTATACGATCACTTCGTTGTCCGTCCGTCTGTCTGTCAAGACCTTTTTTTTAATATGGTATTAAATAACCTATCATCATTATTGACATCACAAGATTGTACACAGGCTTCTATAAAAGTCTTAAGAAGCTCTCATTAAACAGTTGGATTAATAGTTGTAGACGCCAGCAATAATATGTGTTGCACGAATGGGACGGCCTGACCTGTGCAATGCCACGACCACACACAAGACAGTGAAGTGGAATTAATTCCGCGTTTCGTCTGAGAAGAGTGCCATAGGCGTAATTTTAGTCCCCTTACTTTCAGACTTCCCGCCCTTTTCTTATAAGTAAAGGATTTAATGGACGCATAGGAAACTTTCTGTACATCTCATTTCTCTATATGACATACAGGCAGACAGACAAAAATATTAAAAATTGATTTTTCGGCATCAGCAACGCAAATAAGTCATATGTATGAAGTATGGATTTTTTTCTCTATATTACATACATACACTTTAATTTTCCAATTTTATTAATAATGAAAAAATTTGTATGAATTCAGAGCTGCAGAGTACAATAGGCGCATGCTCTAGTGTTGGGCGGGCATCTGTTATTACGCCGCCCTTAACCAACGCTCGCTCGCTTCAGTCTGTTCGACGGACACAACACGAAAGCATTGCGCGTTACATCTACGATCTATTGAAAAGTTTTGAACAAATCTCTCAGTTTTCTATATTTTTGCTTGAAAAGTCTTCTTAAATAAAGAATTATGTTCGTTATATTGATTTAAAATGAATTTATTCAAATATTAAATTCAATTATACGTTTACGGTAGTGTTTGTTGTGTTTTTATTATTATAGTAAGATAGTTAAAGCTTACAAACAACGTGCAAGCGTCTTTAGTTAGTTTGATAAGGTGATTTGAAGAAAAACATTGAAGAAAATCTTTAGTGGCCAGAAAATTGTAAGTAATTTTCATTAATTTTTAATTAAATTACATTTATAAAGTCTATACATTGTAATATAAGTTGTTAGTAATTATTCATTGGGCTAAAGTCGTCATCGAGCTTAATTATAAATTTAGTAAAATGTTTTTCTATGAAACTACGCAGTTTAAATTTCAAGACGGAAGTCTTAAATCATGTTACTTTACAGTGATATTGAATAAGATTAAAGTCTAAAATAATATGAATACTTTGCTACCCTTTGATGAACGCTGCTTCCCATATGGTATCTTATACATAAAATAAAATTACAATGTCTGTATGTAATTTCGAAAAGGAAAAAATATATTTCGTATGTATGTTGTATTTGCTTTATTTATAACGAAAAAGTTTATTTTAAAATGTTGGCCTTTATGTACGCATGGCAGCGTTTGTTCCAAGTCATCTCCGAAACCGCTTTGCTGATTTTGAAACGTATTGAAGGGAAGATACCTGATGCATGCGTATATATGTAAATTTGTTTTTTATATCATAAGGTGACAAATAGCGAAGTGACACGCAATTGCATCTGGGTTGCCTACCTTTAATCGACGGAGGAGAGGACACACAGAAAGAAAATATTTTCCCTTCCCATGCATCCTTTCATCCGGAAAGTCCACTTCCACTTCCCTTCCTATCCTTATAGGAAGAAGGGTGGAAATGGAAAGAGGACAAAATCAGGCCTGCGGGACGCACACTTATCAGTTGAAACGTGGAATTGCTTCCACTTCACGCTTGTCTTTTGTGGTCGTGGTATTTCACCGGGCGAGCCGGGCCAATTCGTGCGAAGATGTTAAAGCGGGCTCTACTACTGTTACTGTATTATAGTTTACTTTCTCTCTCCGTGCTGACGGAGTCGCGAGCAACAGTTAGTAGATACATGCATAGAGTCCGTGATATGATTTTTATATTTAATGTAGAGATTTTATAAATATTCTAAGCTTTTTTCATGCACAATATCGCCAGCGGATAGTATTATTAAAGAAAATGGACCTAACAAGAATATTTACAAGTGCGTATCGTCAGCTTTAATTATGTTAAAATTAGCCGTAGAACCTGTGACTGTCCGCGCGGAATTAAAAAAAAACTGAATAACACAACACACTTGTTTTACATCTATGCCAAATTACAACGAGATCCATACAGCTATTCTCGAGATAACTCAAACAAACATCCTTCCATCCAAACATTCACCTTTGTAGTATTAGTAAAATTATTATGAGATTTCTGTACTCAACGTTCGATAGAGGTCGCCACACAAATTTCAATACAAATTATGTCGTTGACGACACGATGGCGCTTGTCGCAATTATTGATGTTTTTCCTTCACTTAGTAACGTGTCCAGCGCTACTGTTGTTTATTTGTATAATATCTTGTTATATAATGTGTTCGACAATAATAATACAACATGGTACTTTTGTGTCTTAAATTTTTAATGCTAGTTTAATTTTTTAAAGTTTATTAACAGTGGTAGAGCCCGCTTTAACATCTTTGCACGAATTGTCCTGGCTCGCCCGGTGAAATACCACGACCATACAGAAGACAGGCGTGAAGTGGAAGCAATTTCGCGTTTAGTCTGCTGAGTGTGCGTCCCGGGGGCCTAATTTAAGTCATCTTACCCTTCCCACTTTTTTTCTTAGAAGGAAAGGATGGGAAGTGGAAGTGGACTTTCCGGGTGAGGAGATACATGGGAAGGGAAAATATTTTCTTTCTATGCATCCCCTCCTCTGTCGATTAAAGCTAGGTAACGCATAAATAATTGCGTATGTCTATGGGCAACGATCGCTTTGCAATTTCAACGATTTCAGCTGGCTGCTCGCTCGTTTGCCACCTTTTGATATAAAAAAAAGTTCACATGCAATTATTAATATAATTTCTTCCATAATCCGGATTCTATTATATGTTGTAGTACAAAATAATGATGAATTCAGTTTGATTAAATTTCTTTCAGTTCTTTCAAATAGTAAAAATGAAAAGGAACGGGTCTAACATTAACATGGAACGCATCCAAGATGTGCCCTACGATTACTCCTTTATTGACAACATGAATAATAATTTGCCTACAATGGCCAACAACAATTTAGTTGATCTCTCACAACATCCTACCCAAGTCTACGATTTAACAACACAGGGGAACATGCAAACCGATCCTAGTTGTAACAGAGCTATTCAAACTAAAGGTGCAATGAACTTTATAGTTGATAACAATGTATCGTCCCATCAATCTACACTATCAAATCAATTTGAAGCCATAAATTATGCGATTGGAACTAAAAGTGTTCAGCAGCCATTACATGATCTTTCCGCAATCGATGCACCAAGTGTTCAGTACAATAATAACGGGGAATTTCTAAATCCTCTTTCAATATTTGAAGATATCTCATCAGTTGAAAGTCAGCATAATGACGAAAACAACACTAAAAATGAAGAAGTTGATCAAACTTATTCAGCTTTAGATCATTCTACATTGAGTCAACTCGAAAAACATAGCGAACTAAACAAAACAATAATTCAAACATTGTTAAATAACTTCACCATCGTAATGTTGCCTAGTTTATTGGTGATAGGACAGGGGATGGATGCGCCAGGGGCAAAATGTTTTATTGATGGAAAAGCATTCCAAGGACTTGTGCGCTGTATCATGGATATCGTTGTAAACTTTCCGCAGAATTATATGAACAAACCGTCATGTAACAAAGACACCCAAACGGAAATAGATTCCAAAGAACCACAGATCGTTGCAAACAAACATACGCAGACAGATGCTGAATCAGTGTCAGTACCCAGAATTAAGATAAACCCACGTTCTAATAAAGTGCATCAAAACAAAGAATCGAGCAAGGAACAAACTCCACGGTGTTGCCAAAATAAAAACGCATCAAACCAAAACACAAATGTTTATAACATTCATCAAGAACAGTTTTATGATACCCAGCAACTGTACCCTCAATTACCATCCGATCAGAGCTATGTTATGCAGGTATGCATTCTTAATACAGATATACAACATATGTCATCATCATCATCAGCTCACTATACGTCCCCACCAAGGGGCTCGGAGCCTACCCTGAGTTATTGGTGAATGGGCCATAGTCAACCACGCTGGCCCAGTGCGGGTTGGTTGACTTCACACATATCTTTGAATTTCTTATCAGATATGTGCAGGTTGCATCACAATGTTTTCCTTCACCGTAAGAACGTTGGATAAATGTACATGTGTAAATCGGAAATCGAAAAAACACTATGGTACATGGCCTTAAATTGATGAAGTAGGCGCTTGTTCACATTTTTGTTCGGTCTAAATACGTCATTTGCAAAATAGATAGTCCTTTAGAACTTTAAGTTCTATTAATTATTAATCAAATTTCAAAGTAAATAAGTTCCAACAATTATTCAAATTTTGAGATCAAACATTGAATAGATAGGATCATATCTTAATTGTAAACTTACAATAAAAGCGCCAATAGCCTAATGGTTGAGGTACGGATTTCCGATTAGATCAGGGGTTCAAATCCCGCCATTCGATTATTGTCGTAAACCATGTCCTAGCACAAGCATAGACCTTAGTTAGAATGGTACTAGAATTATTAATAAATTTTCAAACATCTGCCAATATTTGAAAAAAAAAATAGTATCAAGAGCAAACTTAGATTAGAGTCACACTATGTAAGATACAAAGCAACAGTCTCTGTCTCATTTCATTTTAAGAAAACGAATGTTATAAATGTTATATTTACAGACTCCCGAGTCGAACAGAAACAATATGCAGCCCCAAATGATGCAATATGGAATGCCTCAAACAAATGCTATGCAGGTGCTCTATTTTATTCCGTAAAATTAATAAAATTTTAATCTTTCGTACTTTTTACTATAACATTCGTAAACGGGATTCTTACTACGATTCAGTTTGAGCTCTCGATATTTCGGCACACTTGCATGCGCCATGATCACGGGTTTGCGTTGTCCCTACTGTATCAGTCAACCCATGATTATGGGCGAAATATGTCGAAACATCGTTAGCTCAAACATGTTAATCGTGGTTAGAATCTCGTTTTTTACAAATCAACCACTAAAGATGGTTTTCATAATTTAATTGTTTATGCGTAAGATTGTTTATTGTTGTCAATTTTGCTTCTAATTGTATACAATTTTACAGAGAACGGAATCAGGCAATAATGGAGTTCAAATGATGCAAGGGATGAATCCATATGGAATACCTCATTCTCAAACTGCTAATACTATGATGCAGGTATACTTAAAGCAATAAATCATTCGAATGTTAATGTAGCTTTAGTATGCCGGATTAAATATGTGAGATGTTTTTTAAAGTGAAGCGTTTTCAAATTGTAGTACATCGAAATATGTTTTAATAGTAACAATAGCCTTTATGTGTATTATTTGACGCAACTTTTATAGTATAAACTAATTAAATCTTATCTTTTAGACGTATTTAAGTAACCTTGACCCTTTTAAAATTTTCCCCTAACATATTTTAATGCGCCATTTTCTTTAAGCGAGTCCGTCTTTGGTAACAACGATTGCCAAATGATTTTTGATCCAGCATATTGATTTTATATATTATATAGGAAATTATGCAGATGATTTTTTTACACAGAGACCTGACTGTTGCATGAGTGGAATACAAATGTCGCAAACTGGAATGCCTCAACACGATTCCGCAGCTATCGTCCAGGTTAGTTACAGGTTGTTTCAATGATTGTTTATCTTGATAAAACATTGGTGGACATTATACTAAAAAAATGAAACCTGTCAGCCGTTAGTAGTCATCCTTTGTTTCGTCAATTATCTTAAAAACTTTCTTTTTTTAATACATTAAAACTATTTCAGAAATTCCTTCTATCCATTTCAAAAGAATGTTTAGGTTTTATAGCATCAAAAATAAAAATATTTTCAATCCTGATTTAAATTATTGAGCTCAAAAAATAAATTTCATTACCTTGATTATTCAAAATGCAAGAAATATCGATAAAAAGTAAGGTCCCAAGAATCAGTGTTACATCACTAAGCGACAACTAAAAGAAAACTCCAGTAACAAGATATCTAACGTTTGACAACAAAGAATGCTACTCCGCAGTTCTCATTATCTCTTCTCATGACCTGCAATTTTCATATCAGAATTCTCATAATCTTATCTCATTACCTTTCCAATATACAGCGAGTGGATGCCAACAGAAATAGAATGAAACCAATTCTACAAGCTCGATCATCTCATCCTCCCAACGCAACTGTGGTTCCCGTTAATGTAAGTATTAATTTAATTATTTATAACAACTCAGCAAAAACGAATTCTAATGTTAAGTGGACAGCAACAGATGATCGCAGGTACTTTGCCTAAGAGAATAACCGTCACTCCTTGTAATAAAAATAAAGGACATCAGTAGCAGAAGCTGTTCTACGAATTAGCTTACTTAAACCTTGAAAATATTACAACACAGATTAATAACATAAAGAAGACTTATAATTCTGACTTAATTAATATAAATAGCTAGGCTACTAAAACTTCATTTTCTTTTTCTTCAAATAAAATTTACTAAATTTTAAAACCTTTAGTATAAGGAGGTAAGATATAATACGCCGTAATCTCTATTACCGTAAATTACTCTCCTAAGTTTTGCAACTACAGAGACAATTTGTAATCCAGCCAACCTACTACAATCAACGCAAATCTGGGAATGCACTGAGACAGGAGATACCAAGAGAGATGCAACGAAGCCAACGTCAATTGCAGACCGTACCTCGCGCACCTAACCCGTCTTCAGGTCGCGGTCGTCGCACTCACGGTTATTACGCAGCTGCTAACCCTCCTTACCCTAATTATCCTCAGTGGCATGTGCCTTCCAACCAAAATCAGTACGGGAATAATTAAACATTCATTTGATGAACCAATCAGCCCGACTGACAGTACCTTTTACACTCCGTTAACGATTACTAATGGAATAATATTAGACCATTCAAAATCAATAAATCATAGCGTTCAAGAGTGAATGACGCGCAATATATAATCAGTCAAGAGTTACCTACGGCTATACTATTACGTTAACACGAAAACCGTTTACCCGACATCTCTTGCTAAACAATTCACACTATCCCGAATCAAACAATTTTATTGCGACAAAGTTCTTGCTTTTAGCTAAACAGTTAACTTTTTCTTAAGCTTAGGTTATAGACATACCAATTTTATGATATGACGTCATAGATACGATGTTTTTGTGACCAAGCGACATGAATCTTCGCGTGATCGTGAGTCATAGCGTTAATCTACTCGCGGAGAACCTTATAACATCAAGTAACCTATTTGTTTGTTAAGGATAATTCCCCTCATGTCAGTCGGGAAAATTGGAATCGCTCACTCATATATAATACGGATGTGCGTATAAATTTAAAGAAAACACGTAAAGTTAATTTCATCAGTGTTTTGTATAAAATCATATTTAAATGCATGTTTATCTATTTATATATATTTAATCTGCTTGTAATCTGCTTAAAATTGTTATGAAAAGCTAAATTAAGAATTCAATTTTATTACAAAAAAACACTAATGTTTATAATCTCATCATAATTACGAGATTGTATTGAAAAAAATGATGCAATTTTAATAAAATTAAGTAAGAAAATAACTTAAGAAGTATGTTTTTGAAAGATTATTTATGATTGTGAATGTGATAATTGATATGTGTGATTATAAAGTAGAGCAGATTTTTAAATCATTTATTAATAATTTAATTATTAATTAATAATTGAATCAATTAAATTTTTATTTTAATTTTAAAATTAATAACTTGAAGGATAAATTAAATTAATTAATTAATCCTTCAAATTATTAATTCCTATAAATGTATGTGTATTATTCATTACATATTATTAACTATTAATGCACGTAATAATAATATTTTCTGTGCTTTAACGTAAGCAAGTCTGTACATATAAAAGAATGTTATCTGATATTCTTTACATTTGGTATGATTATTAATATATTGTATTATTAAAAATAAGGTTTTTATTTCATAATTATTCTAAAAGAGTCAAGATTAAAAGAGCGGCAGTATAACATTTCGTCAATATTTTTTTTATCTTCTAAAAGAGGTTAAATACTTTCTTGTTTGCCATTGCTTATAGATGAAAACGCCGATTTTAAATTATATTTATGTAATTACGTAAAATAGATGTAAGATTATATTTGTGCATGTTTTATTAATAAATGTTAACATATATTTATGGATGTCTATTACAATTTTTGTCTATGTGTCGTAAAAATACTATAAGTAAACATATATAGATCATAATTTCCTTTTCCTTATCGCATTCAAGAATGAACAGACCTAATTTCTCTTTTAAATCGATGTATCTTCCATAATTTCATACTATTCCTTTATAATAAATATCTTTCATGGCATCAATCAATTTATTATATGTATACCGGAGTTAATAATAATTGTTAAATGCTAAAATGTCGTGAGTGTGGTTTTTTTTAATTTTGTGGACTAAATATTACATACCTATCTGAATATCGATGCCCACGATACAGGCATTGCCTAGTGTGGGCATCTCTATATTATCCAAATTAACCATAAATGTTAACTTAAGTTTAATTTAATTTCTTAGTTATGTGCAATTTTTATTATGTTAGTTATTGTTTCTTGGTTTAATCTTTATTACCTATAATAAAAACTTTTCTTTCTTTTAATCTCATCCTAGCCCTAACCCTATCGATGTACCTTCATTTAAAAAAATACGTACTATTTTTAAGATAACATATATAAATGTTTGTATTAATGTTATGTGTATTTTTCGCTAATAAATGTTGTGACGAAATAATTCTTTTTTTTAATCTTCCTCCTTTTCCGTGTGATAATTGTTTAGATTATGAAAATGAAAAAATGAAAAAATCTTTATTGTTATACACAAGAAATTCAAATTCAATGTTGCCTTGACTCCTTAACTAGGAAGACCTGTACTTAAGGAGAAAAGGACTTCCCATATATATAAATTTAATAATTGTTTGTGTAGAAAAACAACTAATTATGACAACATGTTTTGAATAATATTTTATCATAATCATCATCAACGCACTATACTTCCCCACCGTGGGGCTCGGAGTCTACCCTAAGTTAGGGGTGACTAGGCCATAGTTAACCACGATGGCCAAGTGCGGCTTGGTTGACTTAACAAATATCTTTGAATTTCTTCTCAGTTATGTGCAGGTTGCATCACGATGTTTTCCTTCACCGTAAGAACGACAGATAAATGTACATATGTAAATTGGAAATCAAAAAACACATTGGTATTATATATGGCGGGATTCGAACCCAGGAGCTGCAGATTGCAAGTCAAGTGATTGACCCCTGAGCCACCGATGCTCTTTGAATAATATTTAATCAGTATGAAATGGTGGGATAGGTATTTTAAAATAGGAATTAAATAAGTTTAGAGTCTCATGAAAACTTAGCTCCGCTCAAGCATACATTATGAGTTTTTGGTATAATTAAGTCAATAATCTTTATTATTATAGAATATAAAGTTTTATAACATACTTCTTTTCGTAAATCTTTCTATACTAATAATTACAAGAACTCCAAATACAACTCGAAACTCAGTCCGAGTTTTGTATTCGATTGCTTGCTCTTTTCTCTATTTAGGTAAACTTACGGCTAAAGGGAAGACGACCGGTGAAGTTTACAAGTATTTTTATAGCAAAGCAATTTAAGTATATTAGAGGTCGGGAGTTACGATGGCGTCTCAAATTCTTAATGCTAATCTAATTATTCCTTATTTATATTTCGTATCGAATTTATTTTAAACGACAATACGCTCTCCCTACGGGCTTTCTTAAGAGTCTTAGGACATGTTTCCCAATCACCAAGTGAAGTGGTGGATAATTAACTAATAAATTAACGCACTTACAATAATTCCTGTCAATATAGTTTATTTTGCAGCTTATTTATTTTGAAACGACTACTTTATTCGCCAAGTTCCAAGTAGCTTATATAGAACTTAATTAGATATTGTCAAATAGACTCTTAATCTGTATTATAGCAGAAACACGAATGAAAGACAAATATTGTAATCCAACTTTGGCGGAGAATAAAATGGAAAGTTATAGGTTTTTGTACAGTAATTTTTAAGTGTCTTGGCGGCCCTTTAGCTTCGTGCGAGTCCCTGCGTGGAACACAATTTACGTGTAGCGAGACGTAGCGGGATGCCGGCGGAGCTTACGTCGCAGTACCCTGCCTCCGATGACCTTGAGCA